TCGCCGCCCTCTTTGTCTCCCCCGCTCGCTCTTCCTCTTGCTTCCGGTTGCTCTCTCCCCCGGGGGGGCCTCGGGGCCGGGCCGGTCAAGTTGTCTAAGGGTGGGAGTTGGCGGTGTGGTAGGCCGCCCCCTCTCGCCGCCCACGGGCCGCCGCCCCCACCAGCTCCTCGACAAGCAGCTCATGGAGTTGTCGCCCTGCTCGCCCGGTGGTCCACACGGGCGTTAAACAACGCGTTTCAATTTCAATGTTATTGGTCTGGGGGATGCTCTTTCGGATGGTGGCGGCTGAGCAGGCTGACGCGGAGGGCTCTACCTTGGGACTTGGGATGTGTGGGAAAATATAGGACCCGCGCTGCCTCTTCTCTCCAGCCCTGCCCTCTCCCCTCTCCCTGCCCAGCCACGAGGCGGCGCCTGATTCCTCAATCAGCTGGGGTCACCTTACACTTAGGGCTGTGCGGTATTGAAATTTCAGTACCGAACTTCGATATTAAAAATATACCGAAACTTGTCGGTTTCGGTTATCGATACCGTACCGAAAATACCGAAATACCGAAATATCGAAATACCGAAATACCGAAGTATCGAAATTTCGACGACTGAGAAGCTAACAAGGAAGTGAAACAATTTGGGCACTTTGAAAACAGCGCGCGATGCCATGTCTGCCGCCTGACATGCCAGCAACGCCAGCAGCTCCATCTAGCGTCGTAGTAGGCGCGTAGAGCGGGAAAAGAACGGTAGGAGAGACTGGGAGGGGCGGACATGTAAAAGTAAAGGTTTGAGGGGGCGCGCGCACCCACTCTGAGTACCAAATTCTTCGTATTATGGAAATAATGAAACATCGAGATACCGAATTACCGAAATTTCCAAACTTTCGGTATTTTTCGATATTTCGATAATATCGAAATATCGTTCCCGAATAGCAGAAATGTAAAATACCGAAGCATCGGTATAAAAAAAATACCGATATCGTTTCGGTATTCCCGAATATCGCACAGCCCTACTTACACTGCCTTACACCGAGACGGCTCCAACCACCTGCACCGGCTTTTATTGGCAAGCGGATTCGTCTTTCTGAAATTCTTTCTTTCGTATCAAAACGTTTGTGGTCGTGTGCGCTGTCTGGGGATTATTTGAGTGTGGATAAACAGTTTAATCACTTTTATTTATTGATTTATTGATTTTATTTGAAAGGAAAGAGCCGAGCTGGCCAGCTAGAGAGCTGGAGAGCTGCTGTAAGTGACATCTCATTGTCGAAGAAAAGGGCAAAGAAGTACACATTATAGTGAGCCACCCCTCCCCCCCCCCTTTTGTGAATTTTTCCCCTGTCTGCCTTGGACGACGCAAATAAGGTTATATCCCCGGGCTCGGCTCGGATACTCGATACCCTCGCCCCGCCCTACCGTGCGAGCTCTGGTGGCGGCCGGGAGAACTAACTTTACACAGCTCTTGCGGGGCTGGAGGGGAGAAAAAAGGAAAGGGGGCGAGGCAAGGAGAAGTGGTTGGGTTAAGGGGGGGGGGGGAGGACGGGGGTGTAGCTGCCCCGCGGGCCTGGCCACGGCCGCCAGGATCGAGTCGAATAACGCGAGAAACATTTTTTTATTTACCAATAACACGGCGCCGGGGCTTCGATGGGATTTCCTGTGGGACGAACGCGGCAAAGATGCGGTCGCGTCGCCAAAGGGAAGGGAGAAAAAGGGCTGCGAAAGGAAAAGGAACGGACGGAGGGGTTCAAGGGCGAGGTAGAGAGGGCAGCCGGCCAGTGCCCCACCATGCCACGCCCTGCCTCGCCCCGCTCCGCTCGGCCCCGCCCCGCCCCACCCCGCCACGCACGCCCATGCCCCGGATACCCCGCCACTCGGCGAGGGGTCGCCTAGAATTTGATATGGAAACGAGCCCAAAGCGGACAAAAGGGAACGGACGGCGTGATGTACACGGAGACACGGCAGGGCGGGGGCGGCGGGGACGCCAAGGAGATGGAAATCTCGGCCGTGAAGATTTTAAGAAAAGGAGAGTCGGAGATAGGAAAGCAGCAGCGACGTCCGCCGGGTTACACGAGTGCGAGCGAGGATTTGCAAGGGAGTTGGGGCGAGGGGTGAGTGAGGAAAAGGGGGGGGGGAGGGGAGGTGAATATTTGTCGCATTGCTCTGCTTGATTGAATGCGCCTCGCCGACAACAAGGCGGGAATGCATGTATCAAGCGCCACTTTTCCAGCCGGGTGGACACCTTCTTTGCTCAACTTTCCCTTTTTTCTTGAGAGAAAGAAACTGGGGAAAAGAAAGAATGAAAGCAAGAAAGAAAAGACGAAGGGGATGTGTGGGGAGGGAATGGGAGCGGCTCGGACGAAAGATGTGCAACACGCGACGCATTATTATGGGTGCGGAAAAAGGAGGAGGTATCGTTGAAGCGAGAGAAGCGATGTCGGCGACAGCTGGCTGGACACATCGAGACATTACTGCAGTGTCTGCTCGCACCCCACCCCTCATCTCCTGGGAGAGGCGGGCTGCTTATTCAAACTCTGGGCCATGGGGGGCGGCGCCGCCCTCCTCATTGCCGTGCTGAGTGTCGTTTTGAGCATTTTCGCAGCGGCAGGTTGCTTATTGCCTGTTCCTATGTACCTCTGGTGCTCCTCATTTGAGGCGACGAGACGAGACGCGCCTCTGCTTATAAAAGGCTGCCGGGCGGGCCGCGCCGCCGCTGCGCCATAAACCCCGGAGAATGGAAGTTGTCTGGATTACGGTGTTTCCTCAGCGCTGCGCCGTTCGAGTACCCCCCCCCC